AAAAAAAAAAAACGAGACGAAGCACTTTGAACAATTTGTCGCATAATTTACGGCAGCAATAATTTCGAGGATAATAGACAATATTTTAGCAATAAATTAAAATACCTGTTAAAATGCAGTTATCCCAAACGGCTATCAGCATACAATTATCTGTGCTGTTGTATAGTTGTTACAGCCGTCACCAATTGTGTATCTACAAAAAAAAACTTTTTTTACTTCAAATTTTCTGTTAAAATGATAATTTATTGATGATCTATGAAAAAAATCATTGTTATCAGTTGATCAAGCTGAACTAAACTACAGAGAACAACATCACTAGTCCATCAGAAATAGCTGCGCTGTAACAGAAAGACCAGCGCTTGCTAAATGCTAAACAACCTCAAATACTTCTACTCCATCACTGGCAATAATCTTTCAGTCCTTTCGTTCAAATCGCAAAAGCGTTTTGCTGTGAACCGTCGGAACTATCCTCTTGCAATTTTGCTGTACTCAAAAACACTAAAATTTATGACTGTTTATGATTGCTTTCAATATTGACTAGGACAACAGTGAGCAGCATGTCGTAAAAAACTGTCAACTTCATTTTAGTCACCACTTCTACATTTAAATCTTAAGGTATGAACGCTCAATCTGAATCTTATTTATAAATTTTAATAAGCACTAAATAATTCGTAAAATTTATAAAAAATCCATTTTGGAACACAGCAGAAAATAGCAGATACGCGATAACGTTACAACAGAGATTAACGTGCTCAGTGCTCATATTCAAGTTGTAGCCAAAGTAAATAAACAGTTTTTTTCCTTAAGCGATAGAATAAAGCAATCATACCATTTAAGGCTGAAAAAAATATCGGATTCAGTGCATAATTTGCTATTAACTGATAAAGGCCACTCTGAATTATTCTAAACGCCATATCTAAGTCGATGCTGGTCGACATGCTGTTTACTGGAAAGTCCTCGAATTTTAATTCCTAAAACAGCTATTAACGACTCTATTACTTCGTAATTTCTTCATTGAGAACAGAACTTATATTAAAAAAAGTAGGAAAATTAACTAGGTCTATTGTTTTTCGTCAAAAAAAGAAAAAAACCAAATTAAAATAATACAGATTGAAAGTAATTTGATTTTACAACTTCTGCAATGGTGATATATTCTCACGTAACAAATGACAATTTATTGAAAGGTTTTTTGTCGGTTTCCGTTAAGGTCAAAGATTCTTACTCAAAAAGAGGTTAATACCTAAACAATTGAAACAATTATAATTTGATGGTAAACAGGTAGTGATTTAAAAAAATCCACTTTTTTTAAAGTTAAAACTTACAGACTCAAAGAATGCATTATTCAATAAAAGCGAAAGAATAACTGAAACGGGTAACTCTGTTTTGGTGATGGGTGAGTAAGAAGAAAGCAACATTGGCCATAATTTTTAAAAGCCTATAACATTTACTCAACGTAGAAGGGTATATCCTAGCATTACAACAAAAATCTCTGACCTTCAATACCTAATCTGAAGACTCTTCAAACAATGTTTCGACGTCTCGGAGTTCG